ACGACCTCTTGATATTGCGAGCTTACCTGCTCATCGGCGAGCCGTGAACAGCTCCTCCGCATCTTCTGGGCGTTGCGCCCAGATCAAAGATGGCGCTGACCACGTGGTCACGCAGATCACAAGCTCCGCCCCTCAAATTAGCCATGCTCCACCTCCAGAACCTGAACCCATGCAACTGGGCATTGCTAAACTCACTGAGGCAGAGAGACAACACAGACGCAACGAGGGGTTGTGTTTGTATTGTGGCAAAAGGGGACATTTTTCATGTCCTTTCGGCCGGAAAACTTGCACACCTAAGGCACGTTCGAGGACCGACCTCAGGTGTGATGTATATGTCCCCTAATAAAATTTACTTTGTCTTGTAAAAAAAACACTGTACAGTGTGAGGCTATGATTGACTCTGGGGCAGTGGAGAATTTTCTAGACAAGGAATTCTCTGCCAAACATCTCCTGCCCTTAAGGCAGAACGATAGACCCATAGCAGTAGAGGCTATCGATGGGAGACCTCTTACTCAACCTCTCATCACGCACGAAACCCTGCCAATTACTGTCTCAGTGGGTATCTTACATTCTGAAGAAATGGTTTTCCAAATTATATCTTCACCTACATGTCCGATAATACTGGGTTTCCCTTGGCTTCAGAAACACAATCCACGTTTAGATTGGGTTGAAGGAGAAATTGTGAGTTTGGGTGAGAGATGGGGAGGTATTTGTTTAAAACAGGTGCAACAACGAATTGGTACCCTCAATATACCTATAGCACCTCCCTTGACCACAGAAATCCCACCGCAGTATTTGGACTTAAAAGAGGTATTCAACAAGGTACAGTCGGAGGTATGACCACCACATAGACCCTACGACTGTGCCATAAATTTGTTACCAGGCACTATGCCCCCTAAAGGAGGAGTATATGCATCTCCCCAAGAAAATCTTTGTTTAGAAGAGTACATAAAGGATGCTCTCAGAAAGAGTCACATACGTGGATCCTCTTCACCTGCCGGGGCTGGGTTCTTCTTCGTTTCTAAAAAAGAAGATCTACGTCCTTGTATAGACTATAGGGGTTTGAATAGAATAACAATAAAAAACGCCTATCCCATTCCCCTTATTTCTGAGTTATTCAATAGGTTGAAAGGGGCCCGAGTCTTCACTAAGCTCGACCTCAGAAGTACTTACAACCTAGTCAGAATTAAGGAAGGGCATGAGTGGATGACCGCGTTTAATACGAGAATGGGACATTACGAATACCTAGTTATGCCGTTTGGACTGTGCAACGCCCCAGCGGTGTTTCAGGATTTCATTAAAATGTCCTTAGAGAATATCTCCACATGTTCGTTTTAGTGTATCTAGACGACATTCTCATCTATTCCCCAGACTTAGAGACACATCACGAACATGTGAGAACAGTACTAAAAACCCTGTTAAAGAACGGCCTCTACTGTAAGCTGGAGAAATGCCAATTTGACCAGACTGAGATGCAGTTTCTTGGGTATGTTATATCTCCGTCTGGTTTCAAAATGGACCCACGCAAATTGGAAGCAGTCTTACAATGGCCATTACCCAAAGGCCTTAAAGCTACACAACGCTTTATAGGCTTTGCGAATTATTACCACAAGTTTATTAAAGGTTTTTCCTCTGTAAACTCTCCTATTACTGTAGCGGTACTTACCTTACCTGGGGGCCGGCCGAGGTCCTCACTTCCCGCCGCGCGCGGCTCTCAAATGAAGGCGGGCACGGACAGCGAGATGCGGTCACGTGTCCCGCCTAGCTCTAAGAGCGTGCCGCGCGTCTCGGGCACGCTCTTAAAGGGGCAGTGGGAGCCAAAAGATGAAATGTGCTCCCATTGGCCCCTGTCATCCCACATTCCCCAGACACTCACATTTTGGGGGCGTGGATATGACAGGGGCCAATCAAAGTAAAGTTTAGGGTATTTATACTTACCTCTCCCTTAACTCCCTGCCCTATCGTGGTTTCTGTTTCAGTTCCCTTTAGCACTTGTTGTGTTCAGTTGTGATTTTCGTGCTTGACCTTGGCTTTGTATCTGACTCCGTTTATCTCTCTATCCCTGTTTTGTCTTGTTTGCCGGCTTACTGACTACTGTGTACCAGACCTTGGCTAGTTTTTGTTCTCGCAGTCTCTTTGTTCCCTTTACCTCGGCTTGTTCTTGACTCTGTCTATTCTCTGCTATACGGCGAGTCCGGCCATTCTAAGGTCCGGTAAGTCATATCTGCTCTATCTGTCGATTGTTGAACTAAATCTTGCGTGTAGGGCTAAACTACCGTGACAATTACCAACCTAACCAAAAAAAGAGCAAATTGCAATTCATGGCCCAAGGAAGCAAAGGAGGCATTTGAGCAATTAAAATCTTTATTTGCCTCAGCACCTGTCTTCACACATCCCGATCCGACTAATCCATTTATTCTAGAAGTAGATGCGTCAGAAACAGGAGTAGGAGCCATTCTGTCTCAAAGAGGAAGTCCTGATGCACCTTTACATGCCTGTGGGTTTTTCTCTCTAAAACTAACATCTGCAGAGAAAAATTATGACATTGGGAATAGGGAGTTATTGGCCATTGTACTTGCCCTTAAAGGACCACTATAGGCACCCAGACCACTTCAGGTTAATGAAGTGGTCTGGGTGCCTGGTCCAGCTAGGTTTAACCCTTTTTTCTATAAACATAGCAGTTTCAAAGAAACTTTGAACCCCTTCCTCACCCTAGAGCCTGGCGGGAGGGGGACCCTGAGGGTGAGGGCACTCTCAGGGCACTATATTGCCAGGAAAACATATTTGTTTTCCTATAGTGGTCCTTTAACCCCTTAAGGACTAAACATTTGGAATAAAAGAGAATTATGACATGTCACACATGTCATGTGTCCTTAAGGGGTTAAAGAATGGAGGCATCTCTTCCAAAGGTTCCAAAGAGCCACTTCTGATTTTTACCGATCATAAGAATTTGGCTTATATTGGGGACGCTAAGAGATTGTCCTCTCGTCAGGTTAGATGGTCATTGTTCCTCTCCCGATTCAATTTTATAATTACGTACTCGTGGAGAGACCTCCGGATAAACTGTACGTTTCACCACCATTAAGGAAAAAGGTACTTGGATTATTCCATAATAATTTGACAGCAGGTCATCCTGGAGTCCATAAAACTCTCTCTGCTATCTCCAGGAGGTTCTGGTGGCCCACACTTAGGAATGGCATCAAAGATTATGTAGGGGAATGTCAAATATGTGCCGTTTCTAAAGCCTCTCACAAATCTCCTCCTGGGTTGCTACAACCACTGCCTATACCTAATGCTCCATGGACAAATTTAGCCATGGATTTCATGGTGGATCTGCCCAGTTCAAACGGATCCTTATGGTCACAGGTAGATTCTCAAAAATGGCACATTTTGTACCTCTTAAAAAATTACCATCTGCTCAAGATCTTGTAAATATATTTTTGAAAGAGATCTTTCGGTTACATGGAGTGCCAAAAAACATAGTATCTGACAGAGGTACCCAATTTATTTCTAGGTTCTGGCGTGCCTTTTGTAAGCAATTGGGTATAGAACTTTCATCTTCCTCGGCGTATCACCCTCAAACTAATGGCACAGCAGAGAGGGCCAATCAGTCTTTAGAATCTTATTTACGTTGTTTTATTGATGCCAATCAGTCTAACTGGTACGAACTCTTACCCATGGCTGAGTTTGCCAGAAATAATGCGACTCATTAATCCTAATCATAGTCCAATTTTTCTAAATCAGAGTTATCACCCCACTGTTTTACCTTCTGAATTTTCAGACACTGATATTCCTGCCTTGAACACCCGTTTGGATTCTATTCATGACACTTGGGATTCTGTTCATACAGCACTACAGAAGGCATCAAAACGTGCTAAAATCCAAGTTGACAAGAGACTAGGTGCCAATCCTGTCTATCAACCAGGAGACAAGGTGTGGTTATCCACACGTCATATCAAACTTAAGGTTCCTTCCATGAAATTTGTCCCTCGCTACATTTTTCCTTTTCGGGTCTTCCGTCGTATCAACCCTGTGACTTATTCCTTGACACTTCCTGCTCACATGAGAAGCCTCTTACTTGCAATCGATACACTAAAGTGGCTGCCTCTCCTCCGCCCTTGGTAGTGGGTGATCAGGAGGAGTACGAAATTCGTTCTATATTGGACTCCAAAATCTCCAGGAGTATTTTGTCTTATCTAGTTGACTGGAAAGGATATGGTCCAGAGGAACGTTGTTGGGTTCCTGCTGACCAGGTTCATGCCCCGTCTTGTCCGGTCGTTTCAGAACCGATTCCCTCATAAGCCGAGTGGGGGTACCGGCACGACCTCGCCGATATTGCGATCTAACCTGCTTGTCGGCGAGCCGGGAACCGCTTCTCCGCGTCTTCTGGGCGTCTTCAGATCAAAGATGGCATGGACCACGTGGTCGCACAGATCACAAGCTCTGCTCCCCAAATTTATACGGATGTGCGCCTGACGTCACGACGTCAACGCACGTGCACGTTCTGTGGTCAGAGGTCACCCTCTGACCAATCAGAGCCCAGAGAGGGATATTTAAATCCCTAATTCACTCCAGCTCCTTGCCCTGTCGTGGTTTCCTGTTCCTGGTTTCCGAGAGTGTGTTTATCTTTGTGAATCTGACTTCCTGGTATCCTGATCTTGGCTTTTCCCTGGTTATTCCAAATTCTGGTTCCCCTGACTGGGCTTGTTTAAACGGTATCTGAGTATTTCTGGCTTCCTTGACCTCAGATTCGGCTTTCCCTTTGAACATTCTCTATCTCTAGCGTATTAGTCCGGCCATTCTAAGGCACGGTTTACGCTCTGTCCTTTTAGTTCATTTCCTTTTTTATGTATATGTTTACATAGTTTCTGCGTGTTGGACCACACTAGCAGCCGTGACATTGACCTACGCAAATACAGCGGATATTGGAATGGCATACCCACCCGACACACAAACAATGGGTTGAACTCGATAAAGGTCACCTGTGTTCAACCCTCCTCATGGCAGTGTGGCATTTGAAAAGGCCCGCACAAGCGGATCTTGATCCCACCTCTACAGTGGCCCAAACGCTGAAGACATGGGACAGCATCAGGGGAGCCCCCCATCTATCTCCAACACTGAGCCCGTTGATCCGGATGCAACACAATCCTCACATAGGGAGTGGACTACCACCACCATCATGGGAATTCATCGGAGGGGGTGACTCTCTTCCTATTCGTAAGTTATTAAACAACATGGGCATGACACCACTGCTGGAGTTGACTGAATGCAACCCGCCATCGAGTCTACAAACATTTCGATATGCACAAATCAAATATTTCTACCATCAGCTTCCAAACAGGGATGCATTACACCACGACCTGACATGGTTTGAAGGGCTCTGCAATGGCACAACCAACCTTATATACCAGCACCTCCTCGTGGGACATCTAGAGAGTAAAGACCCTTTTCCGCCGGTGCTGGGAACATATTCTGAACAAGTCGTTCACTGTGGCTCACTGGGAGAAGATACTCATACTACACGACAAATGTTCCTCGAGTTCCAATATCAGGAAACCAACTATAAGTTTCTGATGTTTTGAACACCTGACAGCCTACATAGAATCTTCCCAGCCATGCCTAATGTTTGCTGGAGATGCGGAGAGGTACCGGCAATGATAACACACATGTGGTGGGAATGCTCACGCATTGTGCCATTCTGGAAGGAAACAGAAAACAGGGGAGATCCTTGGCAATGCGGGATGTTTCAACATGGAAATGGTCCTCCTACACTCCACGCCGACTACCGTTGTGGCTTATAGAAAATCAATCCTTCGACATCTGCTGAACGCTGCCAAAGCCTTGATCCCACTACATTAGAAGCAGGACACGACCCCTACGTTGGGACAATGGTTGGATGGGGTGGAGGAGATATACATGGTGGAGTCTGTGTGGGCCTTGTGTCACGATTCCGGAACCTAACACGCTAACAGGACAAAGAGAGGAAAGATGCTATACCGGTCCTTAGAGTGGCCGGGCTAAGCACGCTAAGAATGGTCAGGAGACAAGCCAAGTAAAGGGAGCCAGAAAACGGGAGAACGAGAAACAAGCCGAGGTCAAAGGAGTGGAGAAGACAGGATAATTGGAATAACGAGCCAAATAATCGGAAACCAGAGAGCAACACGAGAGAACAGCACTACAGGTATCACAAGACCACAACAGGGCACTGAGGGACAGGAAAGGTAAGTATTGATTTAATTCTGATTGGATAACTTCCAATCAGAATTAACAATCACACGTGGGGGATATCTATACCTCCTACTGTGATTGTGGTACTGTTCCTTTAACGCCGGGTCACTCACGTGACCCCGGCGTTTGCAAAATTCAGTGACCTCCCAGCGTGCAGCGTTATACATGCTGACGCTGGGGGGCGTGGAGGACGCGAGCGGTGAGCGGCAGAGAGGAGACGCCGCTCGCCAACAGGTAAACGGAGGGGAGACCGCGGGCGGCGACGGACTGAGGGTGAGTGCTGCAAGTGGCGTGCAGCCTCCCCTCCTAGCCGCCTGCGGATCCCTGACATAACCCCCCCCTCGAGGCCCGCCCAACGGGTGGGAAGCCGAAGGCTTCAAAGGGAACCGCGCATAAAAGGAGCGGATCAAAGAGGGCGCATTCAAGTCAGAGGCAGAAACCCAGGACCGCTCCTCAGGGCCGTAACCCTTCCAATCCACCAGATACTGCAACCGACCCCGATAAAAACGAGAATCAAGCAGAGCAGCCACTTCGTACACGTCACTAGAGACAGCGCGGAGGGAATCTGGACGCCTGAGAGGACCAGAGAATCGATTACAGAGCAGGGGCTTCAAAAGGGAGGTGTGGAAAGTGTTAGGTATACACATGGAAGGAGGCAAGGCCAGGGAGTAGGACACAGGATTGACCCTACGCAATACCAAACCCTCCCTTCTGCGGTACGTTCTTTCAGCTTCAGATAAGCCTACAGCACCTAATTGCATGAGTTCGGGAGGTGGTTGATTAGGGGGAGGTAATGCTAGTAATGGAGTACTGGGTAAAGCAGGTAACCCCTGTGAATTCATCCTTCTTTGACTACGCCTCTCTCTAATACGGTTGTCAATTAGAATGACATAATCTATTAGATCATCCAGAAGAACAGGCATTTCCCTGGATGCTATTTCATCTAATATATAAGCGGCCAAACCCTCCTGAAAAGCTGTTACGAGAGCGTCGTTATTCCAAACCACTTCAGCTGCCAGAGTGCGGAATTCAATGGTATAATCCTCGACAGATCTATTACCCTGTCGGACCCTAAGCAGAGCTTTGCCAGCAGAAGCAACCCGGCCGGGTTGATCAAATGTACGTTTAAAAGCTGTTAAAAAGTGCAAAGGACATTGGGGACGTATTCTCCCACATGGGATTAGCCCATGCTAGAGCTTTCCCGGACAAATGGTTGATCAAAAAAGCAATTTTGGTGCTGTCAGTGGGGTAGGAACGAGGATTCATCACCAAATGAATGTCAATTTGGTTGAGGAAACCACGGCACAATGCTGGATCACCGCTATAGCGCTGAGGTGGCGTCATGTGAACCACGTGAGCAGGAGCGGGTACTGGATCAGGAATGGGTTCTGGCACGGTAGCTACAGCTTCTTGAACGGCAGGTTGCAAGTGGGCAGTACGAGCCAGTATGGTTTGTAAAGCTTGGGCAAACTGATCCATACGGTGGTCTAAACCATCCATTCTAGCCTCCTGATTTACTAACAGCTGTGGAATGTCAGCAGGTTCCATGGTGGCCCTGTTGTAATGTCACGATTCCGGAACCTGACACGCTAACAGGACACAGAGAGGAAAGATGCTATACCGGTCCTTAGAGTGGCCGGGCTGAGCACGCTAAGAATGCGTGCAGCGTTATACATGCTGCCGTTGGGGGACGTGGAGGACGCGAGCGGTGAGCGGCAGAGAGGAGACGCCGCTCGCCGACAGGTAAGCGGAGGGGAGACCGCGAGCGGCGACGGACTGAGGGTGAGTGCTGCAAGTGGCGTGCAGCCTCCCCTCCTAGCCGCCCGCGGATCCATGACACCTTTGTTGCGGAGCTGCAATTTTATAATCCCAGGATCTCTGCTGGTAGAATGCAATAACCAAGTACAAAGCTGGAAGCAGGCAATATTCCCAAATCCTCCCAAGAACCAGACGAAACACAGTCTGAGAGTCAACTGCCACTTTATTCAAAAAGACTGATATTTAAAGCAGGTCACTCAACTGTCACTTTATTAAAAATAACTGATATTTAAAGCAGGTCACTCAACAGGGGTTTCCAAAGATGGGCAGCAGGGGTTTTGGTTGAGGGGACTGGAGGGAGACTACCGTTTCCAGGTCCTCCTCCCAACAGCCCCTGCTGTAACATACAGTAATGAAAACTACGAGGACATAAACCGTTACCTTTCAACTTCAAAATATACAACTTAGTCAGTTTTAATAGCAATGCTAACGAATGGGGAGGATTCGAACAGACATACACAGTACAGCATAAATTAAACATAGCCGGAGACGCCACACTATACCGGCGCGCAGTACACAACAGAAAATAGGCACAACCATTCTATCTTAGGCAGTCCCAAGTGGCTAGGTTTGCCACAATGCTCCCCCAAAACCAAGCCGGCATACACAGTCTGATCCCAACGGATCGGCTTGGGGATGTCCGGGGGAGTGCTCACAGATCATTTCTCAAGTTCTGTCTGTCTGGACAACCCATCGGCGTTACCATTCTGTTTTCCAGGGCGATAATGGATCGTGAAATCAAACGGCTGCAGCGCCAAACTCCAGCGCAACAGCCGGGCATTGTCTCCTGACACCCTGTGTAGCCACACCAACGGGTTGTGATCTGTGAGCAAGGAGAATGGTTGTCCATACAAATAAGGTTGTAACTTTTTGAGGGCCCACACCACGGCCAGGCATTCCTTCTCGATGGCGGCGTAGCCTACTTCCCTTGGTAGTAATTTTCTGCTTAAGTAAGCTACGGGATGTTCTCCGCCATCAGCTCCCACTTGGCTCAGTACTGCCCCCAATCCAAACATGGAAGTGTCTGTGTGAACAAGAAATCATTTAGTTGGATCAGGGGCAGTTAACACAGGAGCCTTAGTTAATGCAGTTTTTAGTTCATGGAATGCCTGTTCACACTCTGGGGCCCAGTTGACCTGTCGTGGCAAGTTTTTCTTGGTCAAGTCCGTCAGGGGTTTGGCCAGGGCGCTGTAATTGGGCACAAATTTTCTGTAGTAACCAGCGGTACCAAGGAACACCAATACTCGTGTCTTTGTCCTGGGGGTAGGCCACTTAGCTACTGCCTCTATCTTGGCCGGTTCGGGCCTCTGCTGTCCGCATCCTACCCTGTGATCCAGGTACTGCACCTCTGCCATCCCTATGTGACACTTGCTAGGTTTTAGTTTTAGCCCTGCCTCTCCAATACGGTCAATGACCACACTAATATGTTTCAAATGATCTGCCCAGGTCTGGCTATAAATGGCTATATCATCTAAGTACGCACAGGCGTACTCTTGGAACCCGTCCAGTAGCCGATCTACCATCCTCTGAAAGGTAGCCGGAGCGTTTTTCATCCCGAAAGGCATGACCCGAAATTGATACAGGCCAAACGGGGTGACAAACGCCGACTTGGGGATGGCCTCCTCGGCTAGTGGAATCTGCCAGTATCCCTTACACAGATCAATGGTAGTGAGATACTGGCCTCTTGCCATCCTATCTAGCAGCTCGTCTATACGGGGCATCGGGTAGGCGTCAGACACTGTTTTGTCATTGAGCCTCCGGTAGTCTACACAAAACCGCGTGGTGCCATCCTTCTTGGGTACTAGCACTACCGGTGATGCCCAGGGGCTATCTGAATGTTCGATAACCCCTAACTGCAACATTTCCTCAATTTCTTTCCTCATGTGCTCCCTTACTGCTTCAGGGATACGATACGGAGTCTGTCTCATAGGGAGCTGTCCTGGGGTCTCTACTCGGTGGGTAGCTAACAGAGTGTACCCTGGTAAATTGGAGAAGGTAGCACCTTTTGCCGCAATCAACTCCTGTACCTAGGCACGCTCCTGGAGACTTAGCCGCTCCCCCAGCTGCACACCTGTAGCGTTTTCTGCAGAATCTTCCTTTTCTAACATGTCTGGCAAGGGCAGATTCTCATAATCCTCAGTGGCTGGGGCACAGATGGCTGCTACCTCCTCTATTCTCTGGTGATAGGGTTTGAGCATGTTCACATGGAGCATGCGTCGTTTCCCTACCCCAGAGCACGGGCCGATCACATAAGTGGTGACACATCTCTGTTCTACCACTTGGTATGGGCCCTGCCAGGTGGCCTGTAGCTTGTCTGTGCGGACAGGTTTCAAAATTAGAACTTTCTGTCCCACCTGAAAGCTACGGTCTAATGTTGGTCGGCCAATCGTGCCGCTTCGGTTAGGGTGTGAGGATTTCGGTCATTCACCCATTCTTGAGCCTCTGGTGCCAGGCCATTACAAAACTGCTCCAGTAGCAACATCTGGCGTAACTCTTCCATGGTGGTAGCTCTGCTGGCTTGTATCCAGCCTTGTGA